TAGAAAATAGGTTGATTTTCTTTTATCAAATAAGAATCAATTGTAAAGACTTCGGAAGACCAATTGCAATCAGTTGCCTTCTTCTCTCACCTTCTAATTCACCAGGTTCTAATAGATGTCGAACTTCCGTATAGCTAGGTAAAAGTGATTTATTATAACCAACTGGTCTCCTATATTTGACAGAAGGTCTAGCTATTATTTTTTTACCTTTTAATGCTTTTTTTACAGCCTTGTTAGAAGACAGCTATTAACTGAATAGGAGAATTATTGTAAATATTATCATTTATACGAAGTCCTTTAACCTATGCTCTGGATCTATCAGTTAAAGTTAATGAAAATCTACAGCATCTTGCTGAAAATAAGCATGCTTTTCAAATTCTTGATGATTGCATTCAGCAATAGCTATAGCATGTTTAGAGTTAGCGTACTGAATTTTTATACTATGTCTAAGTAATAAATCTTTACATTCACCCATAAACTCAGTACCTCTATCAATGATTAAAACATTTGGCCAAATAAGAGGGCAATTTAGATTATTATAAATTTTCTGAAATGCTTTGGCCACTCGTGCAGATGATTTATTAGTTAAAGTAAAACTACGATGAAACCTAATAGCTACATCTTTTATTACAAACCTATGCTTATAAATTCGATTGCCTATTTTACAATGAGAAAATGGTGTAGTATATTGATGAACATCGTTTAAATCTTATATATCATTAAAAGAGGCATACTGAATGAATTTAGGCTGAGGCTTGTGTATCTGATATAAAGCTTGACGGTTTAGCCATTTTTTTATCATAGATAGAGTGAACTTATATCTGGTTTTCTTGTAAGCATCCAGCATTTTTTCAGCAGTCTGATAGTAACTTTTAGGTCTATAATATATCTCTTGCAAAGTAAGATCCTGATTTAAGTCTTGAGTTTTTTGAGGATTGATATAAATAATCAGTCTTTTGGCTTGACGCTCTTCTATTTCAATTTTTTTATAATTATGAAAAAAGTTAGTATTTATGAAGTTAAATTCTACTCATTAGCTAAGGTGCTTTTTTTTCCTTGCGGTTAACTAAATATGTTTCTTGAATAATTATCCTATTTTTTAAAATACTATGAAGTATTACGAACTATGCAAATTAGATGAAACTATACCTTTAAAAAAACAGAATTTATTTGCTTTTAAACTTCCATTTAGACTAAAAGTTGTGGACACCTCTGAGTCTGGAAAGACATGCATGGTAGTACATCAACTCCTAGAAAGTAAATATTCAAAAATATATCCATAGATGTCTGGTGAAAAACGTGATCATAAAATACCAAAAGGCAGAAGCAAAAATTTTGGTGAAAGGTATATTCTGTATGATGATCTAATTGTTATTGCACAATACCAAGATGAAGAGCTATGGGAAACAGTACAATGTTTTTATGAATTTATAACCATGGATAAGCAAGCTCCATGGTATGAAAATGTGAGATTCAAGCTGATTGCGCTTGAAGAACTACCTGATATTGCATCTTTCAAAAGAACTGGCCAATCTACTATTATAGTCTTTGATGATCTTGTCAGGAAACCTTTGGCAACTCAGCTAAAAATTGTTCCTTTCTTTAGATCAGGCAGACATAAAAGAATTAGCTCAATTTATATAGCCCAATATTTTTATGAAATCTATCTAAATATACGTGTAAATCTTAAATATATTTCATTGCATCATGGATGTGAAACATTAGATAGTATAAAACGAATTCTTAAAGATATATATAATGATTATGAGTTTCTAATAAAAAAAGTTTATAAAGTGATAAAAAAACATTTCGTGGTTATTGATATCTGAAGACCATCTGACAACCCCTTATCAATTAGATTTAGATGGAACAAACCTTTAAAGGACTGGCAAAATGATTGAATTTGGGATGATTCGTGCTTTATTGTCTCATCCATATCTATAAGTTAAAGTTTTATAGGAGGTAGTCCTGTCTTTTGGTTCTTCTCCGTATCAGATCAGGAATCCATAACCTTGATTTTTATTTAAGGGTATTTTATAGTTCAAAATATTTTTTTCTTCATTGTAAGATGAATATAAACGAGAGAGTACACGCTATAAAATGTATATGATTAGTAATACTATTACGAAGATGAATGCATGCTGAAAAAATAAGGAAAAGGTGATTCTGAAGTTATTTCAAGACTAGTAATACCGTTATCTTTCTCTAGACTGCTAATACCTCTAAGCATTTCAGACTTGCTAGATGTTTTTAGAATCTGCTCAGCTAAATGAGTATTAGTCTCTTGAAGGAGGGTCTCTTTCTCTAATAATGTCTTTTGTACTGAAGACAAAGTATCTCTTATCTGCATTAATTCTTCTTTTTTATTCATCAATTCTATTCGCATTGAGGATAATTCATCCCTCAACCGCATTAATTCATCCTTTTTTTCGCTTAATTCATCTTCCTTCAGATCTAAGTCAACATTTTTTAGCTCAACATTTTGCCTTGACTGCGCCAACTCTCGTCTAAGAGAATCCATTTCTGATAAGTCTTTCTGGACTAAAAAATACTTCATTTCTAATTCTTTTATTTCCAATTGGAGAGCTTGTATCTCTTCCAATTTTGTAATGATTTCATTCTCAACTTTTGTGAAAGAAATATCTTTATGGATGATCTGATTTTTGAGCTCTTTCACCTTATCTTTAAGCTAGTATACACGCTCTGAAAAACTTTCATTATTTTTATCAGAAGACTATTTCTAGTGCTAAGCTGAATACCTGAGCTTAAAGCAATATCTAGATCATGTTTTAAATAAGCAAGTTGGTTCTTAAGTTCAGTTCAGCTAGATAGATATCGATTAAATGGCAAATCTTCAAGTTTTTTGCCAGATACCAAGGGTGCCCTATTATTTATTTCATTTAGCGTATGTATATTTACCATATGAATTTATTTGAAGGCAAAGTTTTTTATGATTTTTTTCCAAGACATGTTCTTACAAATTTTTTCTTTGAATAGTGGAAAAGGAGTTTAGAATCAAACCAATATCATACTAATAAAAAACCAATAAAAAACTAATAACGAACTAGTTTCAAACAAATATAATATTTAAAGTATATGTATCTTAAACCTATTTTTTATTTGAATCATGATTATATCATGCTACACCGTAAAGAAAGTGAACTACATATATGTAATAAACTAATGTCAGACCAATGCCAGATCAATATCAAATAAATTGCAAATAAATTTTTTACAAGTTTTTTATTAGTATTATACAGATTTATTACTATCAAACTATGAGCAAAAAACAAACAACCCATACTTGTAAATTTCTTAGATCAGATGCTCAACGCTTGTCACCTAAAGCTAGCTATCAAAGAAATTAGAAATGTTCAAAATAATATTCCAGATGCTTAGCGTATTATGTGTAAAAAGCATCGTATAGGATCAACAACATATCAAAAAATAATTGATAATAAGAGGCCTCCTGAACCTATTGAGAAATGGCGTAGAATCATAGAATCTGTTAGCATCTCTGACCAGATTTCAAAAAATAATCAGAAATCTTAACATAATACTTCCTCCTCTACTATTATACAAGAAGGCAGAATCACTCATACGGAATATCCTATGGATAATAAGAATGATGCAAATTCTAATGGTCTGAATACAATAACTAATAGACGAAAAGATAAAGTTAGTCAGAAAAAAAAGGTTAGTATAAAGCCAAAAGACGAATCTTCTTCTTCCATGGCTTTAGTGAAAAAAAATAAAAATAAAGTAGACAATGCTCTCAAAGGAAGCGATATATCTAGACAGAAATCTGATCTTAATAAATTAATAAATATTACTAGAGAAGCTGTCATGCATCTGATTTATTCTCTATAAGTCGAAGCATTTTTCTGCAAGAATATTACCTGCATTTAATACTATATTAAGCTATTTCTCAGTTTTTAATAGTTGCTCTTCAAGCTTTACGCACTTTTTTTTAAGTCTTCCTCATTATTTGGGCTAGAGGAGTTTGTAGATACTTGGTCTTGATCTTTTTTTGATGGATCTTCAACTTCTGGAGCTTTATTAAAAGTTAGGATAATGTAAACTTTCCCATGTAACTTCATTCAGAATTGATTTTTATTTGGGTCAAGGACATCTTGAATCTTTCAAATAATTGTAACAGTTTTACCTTCCTTATCCTTCATACTAATTGGCACATCTGTAAATTATCCTAATGAATTAGTAATATGTTTAGAATTGTCTTATATTGCAAAATTAGATGGCCTATTACTCTCCATCCAAGTGCATTAATTGCCAGAATATTTATACTTCTAAACTCGCTTTCAGAATCTAAAAAAGAATCAGAAATTGTTAGATCATTTATATTACAATGCAAGTATTGTAGAGATGAAAACCACTCATCTGATTTTTTTAATTCCTTTTCCTGAACTTTTCAGAATAGACACATTTTTTGTATTGGTGGTGAGAGCTTAGACATTAGTTCATCATATGTTTAGGCTGGCTAGATTCTAGAGACAACTTGTCATTTACTGGTGTCTGTTTTTTTTTTCTGGCAGATCATATTCAATCCAGATATTATCATCTTCTTTATTATCTAAAGTAGGAGGCGTGTGTTAGAAATTTATAGGTGTAATAGGCTTAAAATAACTCCTATTAAAATTAGATCGAGCTACTGATTTATGTATATTTAGTTTCTGGAATTGGTTGCTTAATTGATTTATAGAATCCCAGGTTTCATTTATAGCATCACAAATTTTATTAAGCCTTTTCTCCATTCTATCAATTCTAGCAAAGTTATTATTTTGCTGTTGACAAGGTCTTTGAAAAGGTTTTATAGGATAATCTGCATCTAGTTTAGTCTTATTAAGTACACCTATTTCTTTTAAGTATTCTGATATATAATAATTCTTGAAACCTTCTTTGATCTGTAATGAAGATGGTGGACTTTTCAGCTGTCTAACTGGTTCAACAGTTTGTGAAGCGGGTGCTTGTGCTTTTTGTAGTTAGAGTTTACTTTTTAGTTTTTCCATTTCAACTTTATGATCAGCCTGCTGTTTTGCTAATTTATCTTCAAACATTTTTTCTATATCATCCGGGATAAATACTGTAGATACTTGGGGAATATAAGAAGATTGTATAGAAACTTGCCCTCCATTTAAATTTTGTTCACGCTCCAATCACATATTTTTTAGTTCAGTGAAAAAAGCATTAATGCCTTCAGGATTGGTGATTCTCATTTAAGTATAAAAATCACCTGTTAAATGGCTTTTAAAAAACCCTAAGACTTGTATATCATTGTCTGCTACTCCTAATAATAGTGGTTGAATTCTGACTTCATAGCTATTAGGAGTATCATAGTTCTGATATCTTTTTTGAATTAATCTTTGAATAGCCGATTGCTGATTTCCAACAGTTTCTTGCTGGTATTTTGCTCTCAACCAAGCCCATAATGTATCTAGAGTATTTATAGCTAGATTTCCTGCTATAAGACCATTATTTACTAATACTGAAGCATATTTTCCCTCATCATAGATTTTAAAATATCATAGTTGACTACATTATCAAAATCTCCTGCATTTGCATTTTCAAGAACTGTCATATGCCTTTCAAGATATGCCCATGATTGAATAACTTTATCCAAATAATCATCAGGAGGTTCTTAGTCTATATAAGGTTAAAATTTTGTAAGAGCAGGGACCATTAATTTTAATACTGGTAAACGTCTAGCCTCAGCCATATTTAATAGTAGATTATTCTATAACGCTAAAATAATTTAGCGAGAATTTTTTTCTTTAGCCTTTCATTTCTCATATCGCTTATAGAGCCTGTCCTGATTATATTCTAATAAACCTATATCCCCTCTACATCGCTGTAGGTAGTGGGAATTTCGCTAATATAGTAGTTATAAGGCAAATTTTTCCTGTAATAATATACCAATATAGGTTTGCTTCCCTGTTATATTGCCTAACATTCTATTTACTTGACTTTGGGTATTAGCCTGCAACTGCTGAAGATCACTAACAACCCTATCTATTACTTCTTCAGCAAGATCTCTTTGCGTAATAGCTTAATCTCTACATCATATCGCCTTCTTTGTTTACGGATTAAATTCTGATGCAAATTATTCTCTTTTTGGTGAATTTGTCTTGTTACCCTTTTTATTTGATCTATCAGAATATCTCTAGCCATTATCCTATTATCCACATAGCCATCTATAGCATTTGCTAGCTCTGCAATTGTAGTCATATTATCATCAAAATTATACAAGTTTAGAGAATTACCCCGCTCTGGAGAATTTTTTCGTGATGAGATAGTCTTAATCTAGCATTGCAATTTCTCAACTTGTTTCTCAGATTCTACTAACTGTTCTTCTAAACTAGAAATATATTTTCCCTTATCTCGCATATCTTTCTTAGCTTGATATAGCTGATTTTTTAGGATAGAGATTTCAGATTTTAACTCTACTATCTCTTCTTTCGAAGCATTTTCAAGGAGCTCTATCTCCCTATTGAGATCTTGAATTTCTTGCTTACACTGGGAATAATCTCACTCTAACTGATTAATTCATCTCTCATTCTGGCGATTAGTATCAACTTCTAATTATAATACTTTCTGAAGCTGATGGTTATCCTCCTTCAACTCAGCTTTATATTCTTCACATGTTCTTCTCTGTCTTGAATGATGCCTCTGAAATGCCATTCTTTTTTGTGATTATAAAAGAGAAACAGAATAAGCCAACCGCATATTGTGATAGATTCTGATGAGACTCAGAGAATCAAAAAAAATGATATTAAATCTTGATCATAGACTATGCGAATATGCGGATTGAAATATATATTTTTTCTGGGTTTCTAAATCATGTTCAGATTCACTACGCCTCTTCATCTATAATTTTCTTTCATGAGTGCTAGAATATATTTCCAGTTCTATAGTCACATCACTATACTACATTTTAGAAAGAATCTGATCAACAAGAGTAATAATTTTCCTATTCTTAGCAGAAATAATATTCTTCAGATTCTGGCATTTATTCTCTAACATGTCAATAGATTTTTCAGCAGACGCAATAGCTTTTTTCGTATCAGGAATTATACTTTTGAAGATAGCTACTGAATCTAATAATTGGGTGACTTTTCCATCACTCTCCTCTAAAGACTTGGTCATGGCTACCTCACGAGACTTATATTGCTCTTGTATATCGAAAAGCTCTTCAATTTTTTTTTCCAATATCTGCTTTAATATATACAACTCTTCATTTTCTTTTCTTAACAAATTTTCACAGTCACTGGTAATAGGCTTCATCTTCTGATGCTCTTTTTGCTTAATATAATTTCCAACCGCCTTATTTAACAAATCTTCCACTTCGGGATGGATACTACTTGCCTGTTCTATCGATAATGGATGTTTTCGTAAAGTAAGATATTACCATGTATCTATTTTGATGGAACGAGGAAGCTGGTTAAGTTGTTTTGAGTAATATACGTGAAAAGATGGTGTTAGTATACCAGTCATTTTCTATAGATAATAAAAAAATTTTGAGAATTTTATGGATTCAGAAATTTTATAAAAAAAATTTTGAGAATTTTACACATTCAGAAATTTTACAAGAATATAGTCATACGCGTCAATGTCGCGAGAGATCTGCTAGAAAACTCCGATCAAAAATGCACATGACACCTGGCCAATGGTCAACGAGAAAAATTATTTGGCAGGGTGTCCCAGCGCTGAAGAAATTTCGCCAAATTAATATATGGTCATGTTTTTCGTGATACAGATAACAAGTTTTTTATTAATTCATTTTGCGATTGCTTATCTTCCAATTTCGCAACTCTGGCTTTAAGCTCAACATTCTCGGCCTTGATTTTATTGTTCTCAACCTCAAATTCGATAATATATTATTTTAACGAATCAGTTTCACCAGGACCATCTATTTCAGATTGCATGCTTTCGTAATGTAGTATTAGTATGTTAATATTCAAAAATAAAAAAATCACGTATTTTCTGAGACCGCGCGATCCTGCAAATTTGCCAAGAAAACTTTTATTATCTAGCACATATCCCACACGAAAAAAATATAGATTAATATGAATGTATGCTTGTGAAATCGACCACTAGGGTCACTTTTATTGATATAAAAATACATAGGCTTTATATACTAAATTACATGATATGGCAATATAACCCGATGCATCTCTTTCCTAATTATTATATGGTGGCGTGGAAATGGTAGGACTTGGGTTAACATTTCAGGACGGATGAGGTGGCTTGTTCTAATGCCTGCATTAGTAGACTCTTATTCACGATCATAATATTTCTCAAAGTTAAAATTACACGTATGAGAGACTTGACTCGCGATATATTATTACTTGATGAAAGAGGGATTTCTGCATGATCCAGGTGGAAGTATCGAGGAATACTAGCTAGATCCTTTACAAGAAAATTCAGATACATAGTTGTACCTGTGATCTGAATCCCTACAACACCAAATTGATTTCCGGCTGGTTTACATAACGTACTTACAAAACTTGCATCATCTAATGTTTCCCTCCATAATTTTACATCATCATCCGCTTTTTTTGATTTGCTACATATGATACGTGATGATTCAGTATACATTAGCTCAATAATCCTTTCATCTTGTTTCAGCAAGCCTATAACATCAGGTTTCTTCCCTATTCTCTCTTCATTTATTCCAAGATTTCATCGAGCTTTGCTTGCTAGACTTTGGCATTCTGCCGTACTCAAGCAGATACTGCCATTAGGAAGCCCACTTAAACTTGCTCGAAGTAAAGGAATTATGACATCTGCAACATACGTCCCTTCACTCTGCTCACTACGGGATATGCTAGTCATAAATGCAGGATTAACCCATATTTCACCACTAAAAAAAAGTATATTAGCTATTATTTCATAAATATTTTTATAGATAATTTAGCGAAATACTTACAGTGTACCCAAAATACGTTCCATTACTTTCACTAGTTCAGTTTCGCTTTCTTTCCATCTTTTATCATGAAATTCATTCCTCATAATTCTAGATACGCTGGAATTATTGAAATCTTTCACAAATCTATCACACTTAACCACAACCGAATCAGGGAGTTCACACTTCATATTTTGCATGATTCCATGAAGATATTTTTCTGTCTACGCCCCAAATTTTTTAAAATATCAAAGTCATCGCTCAGAACTATGCTTACTTCAGGATCTTTCCATGTGAGGTCTGAAGAGGCAATATTTGCCAAATTTTGTTTGAGAGAGCCATAAAGATTTACATCCGCCTCTGATAAAGGATGCCAAGTATATAGTTAATTAACAAATTTAACTAGACAAAAAAGTACTGAACTTCTGATAATTACTTCAAGCTTATACTTCAACATAGAAAGATTTTGTTCTATTTCTTCCTGGATACGATCTAGAGGTGCTTTTTTTTCCATATTTAACGCCTTTAATGCTTTCAACCCACGAACACTAATATATCCACTCTCCATCTACAGTAGATGCAATAAAAAAAGTACCAGTACATTAGCCCAACCTAAATTCATGAATTATATACAATCTCCACACGTGTGTTCTCAGATGTGTTTTAGATAACATTATTTTAGCTGAATAGTCACGTACAGTCAGAGAGGAGCAGAAACCCTCGATATCTAGAGGACATTGCTCTTCTAGGCTGGCACTCCCTGACCTTCAGCTATGACATACCAAAACTAAAAACCACATCTACTATAGGCTCATCATTGAAGATGTAGATAAATAATAAAAATCTGATTTGCATCATACTTGCGATAATATTTCTAACACCTTAGTTCTTCGCTCAAGATCTTTTATTTTCATTAAAGATAAAGTGACTGCTCGGTCAACTATTTCTCATACATCATTATATGGAGGAAGGGTATTATCCTCTATTGTCAAATAAACAACAGACGCCTCACAAAGAGTATCTAATGATTCTTGTAATAAAAGCGTTTCAACTCTAGTAATTAAATTCGACATAGTAAAAAAATGTTAATAAAAACGTATGATATAATATGAAATTTTCAATGACCTAAACATAAATTTTCCATACCGTCCTTTTAAATGCCACCATTTCTCATTCACATTCTCTTCATGTTGGGGGAAAGAGATAGGAGAAATATGCGAGATACTTTACGCTAAAATTTTATGTTTAAGAGTAAGACATGCAGAATGTGCATTGTAGATCTCAACATTGCAAAGGCGTTGAGGAATATGCATATACATACTTTTTTATTTCACTTGCTCGACCGCTCAGTAATAAAGACCTAGTAACGTCATATAAATATACTCTGGCCCCGGAAGGAAATAAATTCATAAATAAATGCTATTCAGATAGATAGGGAAAAAATTCAAAATATTTTGGGAATCGATTTTCTTATGTGTGAAAATAATTTGTCGCACAAACAGTCACACAAAGATACAGATGATTTGCGGAGTATCACCTATTACATCATATATACTTTAACGAAGATCTAAAACGTGCTAATTTATATCGCATACGCCTACATGCATTGTGGCTGGACAATATATTATTTTATTAAGATAATATTCAGGATCTAGGTCAAGGACTGATCTGGAAAATTCGGCGTACAAACTCACAATTATCATCCAAATCTGAGAAATTCACGGTAACATCCTTTCTATGAATATAGTATAGGAATTCTGACAGCAGGAATCAGCATATTCTTTCTATTTCTACTGATTTACCCCTATATTTCACACAGTCTGAAATTTTGATGATATTCTCAAAGTTAT